ATTTTTTTATTATCTGCGACAGACAAAAACATTTCTTTATAAATTTTTTTTTTTTTTTTTTTTTTTTTTTTGACAAAAATATATATATATATATTGTGGATTTGACTTGTCAGTATGCGATTCCCAGAGTATGATATTAAGTAAAAATAGCACATTTTTGTGAGATGGGGATTACACAAAAGTTGCTAAACAATGTTTTAAGCGTGAATTGTATTCGTTTAAAATAAGCAACCAACATTTTTATTAAAATAGTCAAATTTTAAAAAATGAAAGAAAAATTACCACAAATGCCAATACGTTTTGGAAAATATGTTGTGAACTAGAGAGACAATAGTGGAAATTTTTGAAAGTTTGCGTGTGTGTGCGTGTGTGTGCCCCATTAATTAAAAAAACCAGCAGTTTAGAACAAAAAAGTACAGTAGTTAAACATGGTGGTGGTAGTTTGATGGTCTGGGTTGTTAAATTAAATAGTCTAGGATCTTTCTGCCTGTCTGACAAGAAGCGGCAAGAAGACATATATGGCCTCCATATTGAAATAAATGTGATCAAATAAGTAATGCATTATTAATTGAAAAGGAGTTCTTGCATTTGAGCTCAATAAATTGTAATAAAAACAATGACTAAACATTTTAGGATCCTGAAAGGTGATAATTATTATCATTTTACATTTTAGGTCTCTAAATGGATTACTTTATCCAGTAAATTTTTCTACATTCACTTTATTTGTTCTTATTTTGATGAATAACGATGGACAACAATCATCCTCAGCCTATTACTGTTAGGTTTCCAGTCATGGAGCACAGAGTATTTTAACACTAATATTTAACACCATATGTTTCACCTCACTGTAGTAGGATTTTTTTTTTTTTTGTTTATAACAAAATGTTTTTTTTTTTCTGTTTCTGTTTAGTAATATATAAATAGTACAGTACATCATAAGTTCATGGGTCAGATTCCCAGGTTTCAGTCTTGAAACGGTCTCTTCAGGCCTCGTGAATGTGACAGCTCATTGCTGCCTCTCCTTGGTCAGAGAGCTAGAACCATTGCTGCCCACAAGCAGTTCTTGTCAGACTGGCCAATTTGATCCTTTGTTTGTTTCATACCAAAACTCAGACAAATACCAGGCAGAAGTGAATCTCTGACAGTGAAACTGTCAAATCCGCGTGCTCAGTATATTACATTTTGCACAGGGAGTTTAATAAGCCAGACAAACTGTTTCAAAAGCATTTATCTTTGTTCGCTTTCATCCACCCTGTGTGCCTTTCTTTATAATCACCGTTGGTTCATTTGTGGGACAAAGTCGCTACGATTTATCATCAAATCACTTTGTCTGACAGTGTGTTAAATTTTAGGAGTGCTGGAGACCACAACCTTAGTTGTGATCAATATCACTAGATTGGGTAAATGAATATAAACGTATCTGCACACAAGCTGCTCATTTATCCTTGACAGAAAATGGTGATATTTTATGTTTGTACAGCAAAGAACAGTGTTAAAAAAACATTTCAAGGCTCTTTTCTTGTTTGACAAATAACAAAATTAAAGATGCTGTAGGTAATTTTGATTAAAATTTTTTTTTTTTACATATTTGCTAAACCTGTCACTATGTCATGCCTGTAGAATGTGAGACAAACAAAACAGTAGAAAGAAAAAAAGCCTCTCTGGCTCCTTCCGGTGGTCCTTCTGCCATCTGCAGAAATACGTCTCTCCCAATTAGAGAAAGAAGGAATGTCTTAGCACTGTCAATCATTCTCATGTACATGCAGCTCACGCCCTTATCTGCCTCATATTCTACTGTCAGGACATAGTGACAGTTTCAACAAGTATAAAACACATTTTTATAAAAGGTAGCTACTGCATTCTTAATTCAGACTCAAGAAAATTTCTGATCTGTGGGAAACTTCCAGGTCTCAATGAGTATTTGAAAAGGAAACAATATGGAAAATATATATATAAACATCCAGGATTTAATCCTTAAAAAGTAGATCCATCCATCTGTCTGTCTGTTATCCATCCTTCCAGGAGTCATTCTCTATTTTTTATTACATCTTTCTTCCAGTTAGAGAATGTTGCGGGTTTAATATTTAACACCTTATTTTTTTTTTCCATAAGCTTAACATGTCTTATATATTTACTTAAGCAAAATTTGCCCAAAATGGGCTAAAATATCTGAAAATGTGGAAAGACATGGAATTTTTACAATAAAGATGTGTAGAAACCTTGATGTGACCCATTTTCTGTTATTTTTCTTTTGTCCCTTTTTTTCCTCGCAGCCTCTAGATTTCGAGACGAGAAGCGGCTTCGCTCTAAGAATCGAGGCCACAAACAGGAACATTGACTCCAATTTCTTGAGCCTCGGACCATTTAGCGACATAACTTCAGTGAAGGTTGCCGTGGCAGATGTGAACGAGCCGCCCATCTTTTCGACGCCGCTTTCCAAACTGAATGTTTCTGAGGATGCCAGAGTGGGCACCTCGATCGGTCGAGTCTCTGCCCACGATCCAGATAACTCCAACAGCGGCATCAGGTACAAACGCCGTGCTTCTCCGCTGCGCCACGCAACAATAGGCCAGAAATCTGATTGGAAACAAAAAAACCCCAGACACTGCTCTTCCTTTCAACTTTAAGTTATGCAATTAGTTTACAGAGTTTTGCGTAGAGGAAAAGAAAAAAAAGAGTAAACAGCACCCCAAATATGCAAACAAATTGCTTCTCAATATTATCTACAAACACAGACTCCACAGAGCCTTGAAAGTCCCCAATCTGGCTGTCACAAAGACAGCAGCAGATGGTGGGCGGGCCAAGGAGTGCTGCATTTGCAAATATAAAATGCCATCTTGAACAAGAGAAGGGCATTCCTGCAGGAGGGTCAAGGCCCGACACTTGCGCAGTGGCATTTACGACTCCAAACAAGCACTCACATTGTCAATCTTTGCAGTGTCACTCTCGAGATGCCCCCCTTCTGCTCTAATTGAATGAATATTGTATGGTATTCATGCTTGGTCTGTTAGGATTGTTAGTAATCTTAATCAGAAAATCTAATTACTGCTCCATTGTAGCTGTAAATTGCCTTTTTTTGCCCCTGTGACTGTTATCAGAATCAGCAATATATTTCTCTACATCTGTTGAAATTAAAATTACTGTGGAACTAATGCCACCACAAGAGTGGAATTACACTGCAATAATATCCCTTGGATGTAGGCTAATTGAAACTGTAATTTTCTTTTAGTATTGAAAGGACTCAGTAAGTGTTGTGTGTTGAGGTACCGTCTTCACTTTTATCAAAATTTAATAGACCTTTGTGTCATCCTATAAGTTCCAGAAAAAGGTGACATTATCTGTGACATTTAGAGAGTAATTGGGAAGAAAAAAAATATTTCATGAAGTTTAAAATCAATACAAGGAGGTAAGTATGGAGCTTATTATTTTAATTTCCCACAAACAGATGAAAAAGGACAGAACAATGTTTTCCTTCAGGTAAAAGAAACTACTATACTTTAATGTCAAATCAATACAAGTTAATCTCATTTTTTAGCAGTGTATCACGTGTAATATAGATGCGTTTCTGTGCCTAGGTACTCCATTGACAGGAACACCGACTTGGAGCGTTTTTTCAACGTTGACGCTTTGAGCGGGATCATCAGCACAGCCAAGTCTCTGGACCGAGAAGCCAACTCCGTCCACAATCTCACCATTTTAGCCATCGAGAGCTGTAAGTCGACCGCAATGAGATAGTGAGAAATACAGCATATTTGTTCAAATTCTCCACCGTTAGTCAAATCATTAAGTAACTGCTGTTAAGTAATAGTATTTTTCAAGTAATTGTTCTTGCAGTTATGGCTGAATCTGTGGGAGGGCCCTTCCAGAAAGGGACAGGAAATAAAAAGGTTAATCAGAAAATTCAGTTCCACTGAGTTACAAGTGCAGAATTTCATTCAACTTTTATTTATAGTAAAGATTAGTTATTACTATAATTGAGGTATAGGATTGAATAAAAATCACAAAACGAATGAATGCGCACGTTTTAGAAATAGCTCAATGTATTTTAAAACAGTATGAAAAATTGACCTGTATATGTTTCTTTTTTTAAATAAAAAAATAAATGTAAGACTTTTTAAGACATTGCAAAACCATTTAATACAGTGACTGCTATAAAGACAGTTTTGATTGTAGTTTAAAAACAATACAGAGGCAGGTAGTTTATTGTTTCAATGCTAAAAAAAAGTTTTCTATCCAAGGACAATGTGTCTCATTGTGGGTGACATGGGATTTGAGAAGACAGAGCAGATACACACACAAAAAAAAAAAAACAAAAAAAAAACAGAGAATCACTGTAGTTTGTGTAGTTTCCATGTAATGAAACAATAAAATCAGTTGAAGCAGTATCTCCTTCAGCACCCGCAGTACAGGGAGAAACACAGCTAAACATAGAAGCTTTGAGCTGGTAGTAAAATCAATGATATGAAGAACAGAGTACACACAGTCAGAGCAACAGCTTCTTCTGTTGGTTTGTGTAGTACAGAGAACATCATTGTTCTCTCTGGCAGACTCCAGTCTGACCTTTAAAAGAAAGCAAAGTTTCCTAAACACACGCCTCATATCAAAGCTAAAATTGTGTGGTGTCTTTCTCATGGTAGAGGGATTCACCTCCATGGCAACAAGTGAGCCAAGTAGGTCATGTGATTTAGGGTTTTTGAAGACTTCATTTAGTGCCATACAGTCTGCTTTTAGGTTAGGCCATTTTCCATGTGATGGAGTAGCTGATTTTAAAAATCTTTAGAGAACTCTTTACCACACTGACAAGCTGCAACAGGCTTTTTTCTAAAGCCCTCAAACAGCTGTTTCATTCTCACCGCAGTTCAACCGTCAAGATCACAGCAAGCTGAATGTGTGGGATTTGAACAGGCCAAACAAAATGCCGAGTAGCCATGATCTCATTATGTGCACCACATTCATATGAGATACACCTGCGTGTGGTTCTGGGCTTCTAGGCGTGTGGAGCTATCCAAATTCATTCTGCTTCAGAAAAAATACCCTTTTTTTTGCATTTTAAACAGAAGGTATTATCCAGACATTTTTTTTTGTATTATTTTCTTGACAATTTATAATCACTGTTCATAAATGTGTAAGAAAAACACATATGTTGTTGTAGAGTGTTGTATTTTTCTCACACGACTATATTTTTTAAAATATCAAAATATCAGCTTTAGGGTATCTTTAATGCTAACAGAAAAATGGCAGCAGTGAATTGCCCTGTCTTTTTTTTCTTCATATTTTCCTACCTCTCTTGAAGAGAGTCTCTTCAAATGTGCCTGTCAATTTATTACACCATGTACTTACTTAAGATTCTGTCCATTTTCTCTTTCTACAAAAATGCCCCCCAGGGTTTAGAGAAGTGTCATTTAGCCTGTCAGTAAAAAATTGTCGCTCCTCTCAGACTTCCTAATGCCCATTAGTCTGCAGTACAGGGGAAATTACAGCACATAGTCACGGGGTTGACGCACGGCTGTCAGGGAATGTTAATTTACACGCAGGACGGTCACTCTGACCTCCATGTCTCCCTGAGCCGTGGGGACGAGATGCTGACTAAGGGCAGACCGTCTCACCCACGGGTGAACAATGTTAATGCGATGTGAAGAAGTGCCGCATGCCTTTTTTTTTGTTTTTGTTCATCTGTCAATGCTACAAGGACGTGAACACCTTTTTTTTCCCCCCCTCTTTGCTTTGCAGTCCCATCATTTTACTGACATTACGCTAACACAGTGGCCAACTATCATCAGCACGCAACCCACTGAGCACTTCAGACAGCTGCGTCACACCAGTATAAGTTAAAGAAGACTAGCAGCCTGTCAGCACTGCACTTCTTCTGTTTTCCTATCTTAAAAGTGACTGTTGTATAAAGACTGTTCGGTTTATTTATTTTTTATTTTTTTTATATTTTCCAAACCTTTTATGCTTCCCCTCTTCAAAGCTGTTTTTCTTATTTACGTCTCATGGCACACAGATGTACTTCTTGGTTGATTTCAGAAGTGTCGCCTGATATAGCACAAGAGAGAAGGCAGGATATAATAATAGCCATATGAAATGTCACAACAGTCCCTCATGCGTGAGGTACTGACTTCTGACACACAGTGATACTCACGCGCCGTTTTCAGCTCAAAAACATCTTTGATTTGGAGGATTGCCGCTGATATTCCCTGCCCTCCGCTGCCTTCTGACATTATTAATAGTAAATGCGTTCTATGTAGCTAAAAAAGAGAGCAAGTATGCTTCAGTGGAGGCTTGCTGGGCACTCGAGCCGGAGTCACTCACATTTCATCCGCCCTGCGCTCCGTCCAGTCCACGCCAATGACAACAAGTCTGTGGCCCGAGGCTCTGCGCGCCCTTTTTATCACCATCAAATGAGTCGCCCCGAATGTCAGCCCATCATCGCTGGCCGGCATCATGGCGACGCCACACTAAATCATCGTCTCGCACTCAGACGCAGCCATTTGGCCATCAGTGTGTGTCAAGCAGACAGAGCCGTGAAGCCCACTGTGGAGGATGGTTCACGCACATGGCTTTCCCCGACAACAAGCCTTTACTGAGGCTAATCGCTCACAGCCGATCCACAGCAGACGGGTTAACAACGCCGCCTCTTTGAAGTAGCTTGAAGCTTGCAGTGCGGTACCATGAACATTTGTGTATTTTTATTTTTTTTAATGTATTCCCAAGATTTGTAGAAGTACAAAAAACGGCAGACTTTGGAAGAAGTCGACTCTTCTTTGCAGGATGATTTGAAATCACCCACATTGGAGGGTTTTTTGAGTTCAAGGTAATTCCTTGGTAACTAAATCTTACTTACATTTAGACGTTAACCCTTGTGTGCCCGAGGACTGAGGCAAATGATACAGGTTTTACGTGTGTGGGGTCGGTGGGACCCCATTTCTAGACATAAGGGTTAAGACCCTTTCAAAAACTTTAATTTGTTTTTTTTTTTTCTCGAGTCAGCTTATAGAAATGAGTCATATTTTGTCATGAAGACGTAAAAATTATTATCTACTATGCTTTTAGCAGCTTACATGTTCACTTGCTTCTTATAACTTGCATCCTATTGAAAATTAAATAATACTATGTACAACTAGCAGTTTATATGCTATATTTAACTGAAAATACTAAAGTTAGCAAATATTGTATCATCAGTATTTTGGCTAAAGCCTGCATGTTGGTCGACACCAACTAATTCTAGCTACACTAATACTAGCAGACTATATACTAACATTTCTTTCAAATGCTAAACTTAGCTAACATAAACGTATGTCAGTGTGCTAACCAGACAGTTCCTCCAGTTTTTTCTAACTTCACAATCATGGAAATTCATGCAAAATCAATAGATCCTTGCATTGTTTCATGCCAAAGTATAATTAGGAAGTTCATACTCTCAAATATGCATTAGAAATATTGCCACTGTATGGGAGTATGTCATACTTCTGCTACACTGCTGGCTTATCCTTACCTGGCTACCATGGTGATCAATAGGACAAGAAACCAAACAAAACAAAAAAGGAAATACTGTTTCATTTAGTGAATGCTTACTGCGATTAAGTATGAAGCATCAGAAAATAACAAAAAACAAAACCAAAAAAACTCAGTAATACAGCCAAGAATATCAAGGTCCAGGAAAAGCAGAATTAAAAACGAATTTTGCAGAAATATGTGAACCTGGACTCGTTCCTTTTCCTTTGTATTTTTTCCCCAGTGGATCCAAACCAGATTGGGAAAGGCATCACTCTGATCACGGTGTTGGACGTAAATGATAACGCCCCGGTCTTTGCAATAGACTACGAAACGCTCCTGTGTGAAAACTCAATGCCAGGGCAGGTAAGACCCAGAGACATCTCTGTTGTCGGTCTGGCATCCTTTCTTCTTTTCTTTCCCTCTCTCTCTCTGTAAACTCCCTTGAAGTTTGACATACAAAGACAGCCTGCTGAGCCTCACAGCCATTAAAACTCTCCCCTCCCTCTAAACAACTGCATTGTGCTCAAACTGTATCTGTTTTGCAGCTCAGGGTTACGCCAGGTGGACAGCATCATTAGTAGGAGACACAACTTCGAGATTTAATAGGAATTGTAGGAGTTGCTGTTTATTAGAGAACTTTCTCTCATTCACTTTCTTGCCACTGTTCTAGAGTTAGCCTGTGGTGTTTTTTGCACACTTGAATGTCATTTTATGGGAGGCTGGAGTGGTGTTTTATAATAGTTTGATAATAAGCCTGTCGTGAACAAGAGCAGAAGGTTTATCTTAGTATTGTGCTATGAAATCCAATGCAATTTTTGCATCTAAAAAAGATAAAGGGGGAAGTAAACTGTGTCCATGCATTGCATTTCCCGCCTCCACATTTGGCCCCATTGTTGCTGAATGACTTGTGTGTTTTTGGCGGTCATTTTTCAGCTCTTGACATTTGGAAAATACAATCAGAGGCAAAGGCTAAAGAAAGCGTGTATGCCTGAATACGTACAATTGATCAGAATGATGCATTTTTATAAGAAATGGCTATTAGGCCATTTTAAATGTGCTATTTGCATTCATGTGTTGTAGTTCTTTTATCATTGGGCTCATGGTGGCTGTGCAAAAAAAGGTAAACGAGTTTGTTTGGAAAAATGAAAGACAATATTTCATTCTGGATATGTTTTTTTTTGGCATAATTTCTGACCGCAGTATTGTTTTACTTTAAAGAAGTCACACAGCCTGGCAGGCTCCAAGTGTTCAGGCATTTTGTGTTTATATTATTTGTTTTAATGAAAATCTCAGTGTGAAACTTAAAATAGAAAAAAATGAAAGCTCACATAGGAGGACATTTTGTCATGTTACAACCACAAACCTTATTGCATATAGTTGGGATTTTGTGCGAAATACAAGCAGATAATTGTCAAGTGGAAAAGAAATGATTGTTTTTTTTTTCTTTTACAAGTAATATTCTGAAATACTTGGTGGGCAAATATATTTAGTTCCCTTTAGTCAGATACCCTTAAATGAATCCATATAAACAATTTCTCTTAAAAACATCACCTAATTAATCTAATTCAGTGTAAATAAAGCAATTCTGCATAAGCAGATGTAACATTTGAAACATTGCAAACTATGGAAAAGTTCAAGATGTTTTAGTTTATTTGCAAGCCATGATATTTTATAACCCAACTGAACTAAGATTTATATCAAAGTTTAGTCACAGTACGTGCAGAAAACACAGACTTTTACAGTCAGAATCTCAACTCGGTGCAATTCTTTCACGTTCACCTCAAAAATGACAGCAGAGAAACTTAACCAAAGTAATATGTCAACAATGGTATCAGCCTCCAGGACACAGGGACCGCCATTGCAGATGACAGCATCATCAGGAGGAAAAAGGTGTAGCAGATCTGTAATTACTCAGTTCGAGCCGACAGATTGCTTACTTAACCCCTATGACAGCTGAGCTGCCACCTCCCCTCGGTGCAGCCACCGGCTCCTCTGAGAAGCGAGAAGCTTCAGGCTATGAGTTTGTCCACCCTGTGAATTGATGTGATGCATTCAAATTCTGCCAAGATATGTTCAAAATTATTCCGCAAAAACAACTGCTGTTTGGAGCTGAAATATACTTTCGCAAGCAAATATCCGACAAATAAAACAGTGTTTAGGTGAAACTGCAATTGATTTTTCATGCTGTATCTAGATATTGCATCAATTTTTAAAAGCCTGAAAGTCATAAGAAATTACAAATGTCTCCTGTTTTCTGGAAGGAAATGTTTCAAGTATTCCAACATGCAAGAAAATCTGGACTAGATTAGGTATCAGTACAGATATGACTATACAAAAGTCATGGTTCTGTCAGCAACTTCTAAATTAATTGGATTTTATTATGTTCCAAAAGTAAAAAAAAAAAGAAAGAAAGAGGGAAAAAAGACATGAAAAGTGTAGAACTGCCTGGAGAATTGGTTAGATTTTATTTTTGTCAATAAATAAATTAGTATAAGCAGACATAGCTAATCCCTAGATAGGTAGAATACACAATATAACTCCTATTTTATTTAATGACTGCTCATGTTTGAAAACAACTTCACAACTTCACTTTAACAACCAAGCAGAGGAGCACAACACTTTCAAATCAGTTCTAACAAGGTCAGAATACTGATCTACATCGCACCATTAAATAACTTAGGACAATGTTGGAACCACTGAAATCAGGTCTGAATTGTCTGGTGCACGCCCCGAAAGCTATTTCAAGATTATTTAATAAACACGGCGAAATCACTTCCAGGAAAATCCACTGTAAAACAGCCAATAATGTTTAGCTGTGCAAATAGGAGCCTCTCCTAACAAAATCATTACATAGAGAGCTCGCTGTGTTGGGACTTAACAGCTGCGTAGCCTGAAGAAAACCATTTATCAGTGGGGTAGAAGAAGAAAAGGTGGCTTCAAAATGGCTATGGAGCGTAAAGATTGAACTTTGGAGCAGTGGAAAAAGGTCATGTGGTCTGATGAATCCAGATTTGTTCTGTTCCAGAGCAATGGCTTCTTATGGTAGGAAGGGCAGCGGATGAGCTGATGTATCCGTCTTGCCTGGTGTCTGCTATGCAAGTCTCTGGGGCGGTTTTATGATCTGAAGTTGCTTGTAGAGTAGAGCACAGGGTCAGAAGACAATGTATTGTATGATCTGTAATACTGACTGACTGAATAAATGCGGTGAAATTAATGTTGTTTTTTTTGGTTTTTAGATTTTACATTTTAGCAGCTTTTCACACGTCCTTACCGAGTTGCCTGCGAGTGTGGAGGGCGGTGCTGTTTTAGACGGCAACAATTACAGCTGTACAGCAAGCCTCTTAACCTGTTTCACCCTTTTTGTTGTTAAGACGAATCACAGCCGCAGACAAGAAGTGCTTGTTTTTTTTTTTTTTTGTTTTGTTTTCGTCTCTCACTTTTAACAGTTTCTTCCCATTCAAACACAACCTTCTGGCGGGCAACACCGCGGCGCACCGGTGGGATCCCACCTTCCGACTGCATAATGAAGGCAGGGAGGATGGAAATTTCATGATGAAATTTACACCCAAAAAAAAAAAAAAACACATACAGAGCAAAGAGAAGGAGAAAGGCTGACATTTGAATGTGAAAACACAGTTTGAATTACAACGAGGCGTCTGCTGCCTGTTACCAAACAGACTGGGTGGACTCATTACCTGTCTGATACGCGCTCCACCAGCTCCCTGATTCCTAATTAATGAAAATGCTCCTGTATGTGTGGATGTCGATGTGAACACGTCGGACGCACTAAATGGGCTTGCCAACCTGTAAAAGCTTTAAGAAAAAAATAAAATAAATAAAAACAAATAAATAAATATCGCAAGCTGCCCACGGGTTGTCACGCCCATTAGGTTATTTAGAGCCACGGCAAAGATGAAATAATTACATTTGCCAGTGAGGGCCAGAGTTGACTCTGCGGCTCTGTAGCTCAGATTAACAGGCAGTTCTGCGGTGGAACAACCTGCCATTTTTCAGGCCTAATTAAGGCAGTCTCGTGGCACTGGCTCTCTCCAGAGATGCCACTTGTTACAGTTCATTGGTGCGTCTGTCTTCTGCCATAATATAAATTGATATCATGATGGGGGTGGAAGGGGCCGAGGCACTGTGGATTGCGGTGGGGACGACGGGGAGGAGGGCTGGATTCACATTGTACAATCACTTCATTGTAATCATTACACACATGAGTGGATCTGGGATTCTGCTGTCCCCAGCCTGCTTGCGGCTTCCCACAGGGAGGTTAGTCAAAAATGATGCGAAGATGTGAGTTTTATATACGTGTTTAGTGGTGTCCCTCAGCAAGATTGCACCGAGTTACTATTTGACATTTTAATTACCGTTGTGCACAAGGTCAAGCTGGACTTGTTCAGTTTTCCTTTTTACAGCTCAACTCTTTGTGGAGTTTATTAGAGGATTTGTGTCTTGATTGTACCAAATTGCCCAATTTCTTCAGATAAAAACCAAAGTTTCTTTTCACATTTTTCAAAATTGCTATGCCACTTTTTTTTAGCTGTTTCTGATGGAGTGGTCAGAGTCCTCTGTTCATCTACTTCCTGTTTTGGCCTCTGTGTCTCATCCTTTTGTTCACATATTTATAAAGTTAGCATTGTTTATGTCTGTGTTAACTGAAGGGAATATACTACTTATGAAAGTAAAAATTGCATGCATGTACAAGATTCCAGTTCACATGCCGGAATATAGTTTACATGCCATGTTCTACTCTTGGCACATTCATATTTAAATTAATATTTTAATCATATTAACATGTTTTTATTTCTGCCTGGAAGCAATATTAATGTCGTTGGAGTGGCTCGGCTAGACTCCCAACTTGACTCTTGATCTTGCATGTATCATTTTTTTTCATCTCATTATCAAATCATAAACTTTCTGGTTGGATAAAACTAATTTGACCTCAGGGGTGTTGATCATTTTGGCCTTTGAGTGCACGTCTCAGGGCACAGGCTGGTTACTGGTATGAAAGTGTAACGAAACTTTGAATCCACTAAAGTTTAACTCGTACCGTTTCTATAGTTTCAATTCCTTCTAAAGAGTTTCCCAGAGTTATTGGAGTTTTCTTTGACAAAATCGACCATGAAACAACAAAGTTGTCACTGCCGCTCAGATGGTTTCAAAAAGTCTGACATCTTTATCTTACAGTAATGACATATGAGGAAATTTGTAAGGATGTTGTATGTAGCACAATTGGGTCCCAGGTAAGTCCTCATCAGGCCCTTCATTTCACACTGTAAACACTATTGTCAAATACCTTTTTCCACCTCCTTCCTCTGATTAAATCTACCTTTTCTGCTCATTCCGTAATTACAGCA